TGCTAGTATTTTTCCCTTCTCCATGTCAGTCATCTGGGTACGCATGGATGTCATAATCACATAAAAATTATTTATTAATGTTTTGGTGAAGTTGACATTAAAAAAGGGGGAAACGCCATGTACAGTATAAAGTTATTGAGGCGATTGTACGATTGATAAATTTGGAAATATATCGTTGTTTGCAACGAAAAATCACGTGATCACTGAATATTTTGGACTATTATTAATTCCCTTGTGCTGCTATGAGTAATATGTGAGAAACCTTAATAAATATATATATATAAAATAATTAATTAGTATTGTTCCGAATTGCGTACGGAAAATTCCTACAAAATTTCCTACCTTGTAACGCGTTCCCAAAGATCTCTACTTTGTATTCTCAATATTGACGCGATCCCAGAAATTCCTACAAAAATTCTTAACTTGTAGTATCAACATTAACGACGTTTACCCAGAAGCAAGGAGTAATTCACTTTAAAACTCTCATCTTTGCGTGCCCAAGACATTTATTATAGAATATCAACCAACGATCCTGTATTGTGTGATTCATAATTCTAATTAATTTTTAACGTAAAAATAATAATAATAATAATAATTTATTTTTAATTATTTATTTATTCGTTTTTCTGTTATTACATTATTATATATACATATTTTCTCTTTTTTGGGACCTATACCTTAATGACCTGTAACAACCTATAAACAACAGACTGTACTCTAGATAACTGTAACGAAAGACAGTTGTGTAATAACGAAAGCTGTATATATAGGATAGCTCTCGTGAGTTGCAAGATAGGCAAAATTGGTTTGAAGAAAAATAAATATAAAATTTAAATTTTGAAACTTACCTAATTGTGCTTCAGTTTTTATTCTTTTGTGTCAAAACGAAATCAAGAGCTTTAATTATATTTGTGCTTAACAAATTGAAGGTTTTACTACCTTGGCCATACAAAGTCGATGCATTGCTTTGGATTCCTTAGATATTGATTTGATTATTTTAATGCTGATATTTTTATTTTGATATTGATATTATTAATTTTATTAGTTTGCGTTTTTGTGTTAGTCATTCTTTAATTGTAATAATAAACTTTGTTTCTTTGAAATTAAAATATTATTTAAACCTTACCCTTGCCTTTAAACCGCTCAATCTCCGTGAAAGATTAGCACAGAAGAACTTTAAAACCCTAGTAAAACCCATTTTAAGTGAATCATTCCGTCGTCGCTCCCGCCCCTTGTTCCATACTCAAATTCGTTAGTCAACCTAAATTTCGAGTTGAGTGTGACAATATTAACGTTGACATTGGCCTTAGTAAACGAATTAATGATATTTGACGCACGATTTAAATAAATCTAATCAAAATTTACGGCGTCCTTATATGAGCTCAACGTGTATATTGATTATTGAACCTCTCATATGAGGTTATCATTGGTACTCATTCGTAAAAGTTTTTTATTTTTATAATTTCGTTTAATTTTAAGATTTGAGAATACTTTTTATGCTTACTCCGAGGTTTTTGATTTTTAATTAATAATTTTAATAAATCGTACAATCTATAATTGCCAACATGCAATCAAGCCTGACAAACGAAATCCCGAAAGAATGGCATCTGAATGAACAAAATCCCAATGAATAGCATCCTAAATTAATAAGATCCCGAAATTAGAACAAGATTTCGTTCATTTGGGATGTTCTTTCAGGATTTCATTTATATAAATTTTAAATGAGATTATTTAATGCAATATATATTTGTAAATCATGCACGGTGATTTACCATGATTACCCGTTTATTCGGGATGCCATTCTTTCGGAATTGCGTTTGTTGGGCTCATAAACTGTCGGAATTGTGTTTGTTAAGATTTGAACTTTACCGATTCAGATGATATAATTATACATACAGTGGCGATGCAACAAAAAATTAATTTTCGTTGTATTAAAATATCTCACGCTAATTTGAGGATATCCATTTTTTAATTAATGGATTTTGTTCATAAATAGTATAGTTTTTAACTAAATATGGATGGAATAACTATCCCACAAATTATGCGTTTATTCGGTAAGTACTGTTACATTACTATTTTTCTTTTTCGTACATAATAAAATACGACATAATAAACTTAACTAACTACTAATTTTTTTTTATTTAAACATATATATTAGGTAGAATTCGACCTATCCTACCTCGTATAACCACCTCGTGCCTTTATTACATCACGAATTCTTTCTGGATTAGGTTTCAACATCAATTTCCTGCCAAACCTGTTGTATCTTGTTCCACAAGTCTTCCTTACCCGAAATTTGCCCAGGAAGACACCGGAGACGACGATCAACCTCATTCCATAAATGTTCGATGGGGGAGATTGTGATGGCTAATCCAAAACTCGAACTCGATTGTTCCTAAACCACCGTTTCGTCGAAATTGCCGTATTTCTAACAGTAAACCCATGATCTCTAATGGTATCATAAGATCCCTCACGAAGTATTTGTTGATATAATTCGGCAGTCATGATGTAAGCCAGATACCGATTTTGTATACCATATGAAATTAAAGAGAATCAAGCGATATCGAATTCTTTGCAAGAAACTACACAAATTCATGGAATCGATATTAACTGAAATACAATCACCAGAACTTCTTTAAATTTGGGACCAATCAAAATGGCCAGAAATTCATTACACGCAGGCTTAATATGAATTTTATTTTTGTTTTATAACAAATGCACTATCTCGGATTATTCGAATTTGCGTTATAAAACACAAGTGAGTTCCAAATAAAAATATTTTATTAAATCAATATTTTAAATTATGTTCTTAGAGGTCTTTATATTGATTGTTCCACATAGCGTATCTTTTATCACCTTGACCATAACGATCGCGAAAGCACAATGCTGCAGAACTTTCATATGATATTTGCCAACGCTCTACTTGATTGGCATCGGAAAACTTGATAAACTTGGTAGAAATTTCTTCGGCTTCGAATTTTCCGACAACGAAGCTACGTTAGTTGCATAAAATTGTGAGATAAGAGATGGCCGTATTTAAGTAATCATAACATAATATTATTTCTAACCTGGATCGCATTAAGTCTAATCTTTTCTCTAGTTCGTTGATCTTTTCTACAACTGTGATTAACGTCTCAGGTTGCTAATAAATAATTGATATTGGTGAACGCGAAGTGTCTTACTGTGATCGTATGGTGGGTTAATATTCTACCTTATGATGATGCTGAACAATTACATGAATGTGTTCGTCATCAGGCTCATTAGGAAATGCTTTGCGAATTTTGAACAATGGGAGCAACTTCTCTCCATTCAGCACTGTTTTGAGGTCGGTGACGGAAGCATTTTTGAGAAGGGTATCGTCCTGTTTGTCGAGAGAAACATTGACTTTCCAGAGGACAAGTTCATTAGCATCAACATTATAGAATGCGTTCTGTTTCTTCGTTTTGATAATCTCTTTAAGCTCGCTAATAGTCTCATCCCTATCAATCTTTACTGTAAAGGCATGTTCAATAGGGTCACCAAAAACAAGGCAGCAAAGTATAATATTAGACATATCTGTGTAGTTGTAGATGAATATAATATTAAATTTCAATTTTGAAGACACGCATATTCTCTGTCTTCTTTTCTCGATTAACTTTATGTATGTTAACTTTATGTATGTTAACTTTATGTATGTAATATTAAAGACAGTGAATAAGATTTTTATATAAGACTTATTTTAGAAAGCAATGATATGCGGGCGTTTCGGAACAAGTTTTATACGATGAATTCTAAATATAGGATATCTATGTCTTTCAGAAAATCAAAGTTCTCAATTCGCTTATGAAATTTCATTTTTTTAAGCTAGCTAAGTGCTCGATTAATCATTTGAACATGTGCCATAGTTCTGATTAGGTTTTGTATACCGTATTCTTCCGGGAATAAGCACAAATTTTGGACTCCAAAATGTGGGGTGGTGCTTATTTATGGGCAGTTTTTTAATCAATTCTTGTTATGTTAACAAAATTGGGTGTGCTTATTCATGGGAGATGCTTATTATCGGAAGAATACAGTATTAATTAATATGATTAGCGGGAGATTGTTAACGTTAAAGTTACTTTCAAATAATCAAAAAACAAAATGATGACTAATTAATACTGTACTACATGTAATAATAATACCATTATTTCCGTAAACTCAATTTTTTGGTAAATGACAAAAAATTGAGAAATTACTTAAAGGCATTTAGTTGGTTAAATTTTCTCCAAATCTCGATCATACTGACAGAAATAGGTTTTTTATTCGTCAATTCTTTAGAGCTAAAAGCTTAAGAAGCTGTCGCGATAATACTCTTGTGATTTATTTTTAAGATTTAAATTCACCTTCTCGAACATACAATTCTGGCGGAAAATAATGGCAGTTAAATTTAACTAAAATTTTATCTTTATAGTGTATAAAATTAAAGCTTTATATTTTATAAATATTATATTTAATCTAACTTTGTTCATTTTTATTGATATTAATTCAATAATTTTGTTGTATAAAAATTTATAAGTAAATTTTTGCTTATACATTTATTTCTATATATTAAGATGATGTATACAATAATACTTTGAAAATAACAATAAATTTTATCAACCGAACAACTTTTAATTAACGACTGAAGACAGATTTCTTTTCATACATTTGTAGATAATCTTTAATATCTCAAAAATTACCTTAGAAAACAGGTATTTGTATATTAAGTAATACTGTTCAACTGTTCAATTTACCTTTATAGTAAAGATTTCAGAAAAATGAATATTCTCTGAGATTTTTAATATTGATTTAACGGTCATCCCACCGATAGAACTGCTCACATTACTGTACCTGTGATCCAGATAGAACTCACACCTATCTTGTATCACTATCTGTACATGTAGTGGGAAAAAATAAAGAATTTCACACGCGTCAGTATGCTATTGTGATTAATATTTACTTGCTTCTAACAGGTCTTTATTTCCAAACGTATATTCATTTTGTGTATTGGTTCGCAGGAACATCTGGGCAAAAGAATTTAGCTTATAATGGTAATGTCATTATTTCCAAATTTCAACTAAGGGATAGCAAAATAGTGTATATAAACGTCATATTTTCAACCAAAAACAAGCATTCCATTAGGTTTATAACCAACAACTTTAAAAATCTTTGAAATAAAATGCGTCTCCTCATCGTCCCTTATTGTATATTTGTCATCGTTTTCGTTCTTCTTTCTTTCCCGATAATTCAAGCATCTCCCGTTCAGGATGCTGTGTGCGCTCCTTTGATTGATAATGATGACGGAGAAATGTGCGTTAAACCGAATAGAAGTAGTCTCACTGATAGCTTATGTACGTGTTATTACCAATGTCATGGTGGATGCGCCTGCTCTTGTTGGTGCGATGGGGGTTGTACCTGTCGTGGATGTTCATGCTGTTTGAGGGAAGAAACAACCCTGAAAACTCACCGAACCTGGCACCTGAGTGTTCAGAAATTCGAAGCGTTGCTCGATTAAACGGGACATGAGAACATTCTATGAGAAAGACATATTCTCCAGCACCCATTTATTTCAAATCCATATTTAGCAAAATATACTCTTTTTAACTTTGTTAGTATTTTGAATTGACTAAATTTAACCTTACTTATAAGTTCTTGTTCATTATTACATGTATTAGTTTATTGCTGTTGTTAGTATTATTATTATTATTATTATTATTATTATTATTTTATAAATAAAACGTGTCTTTTGATTGTATAAAGTCAAATGACAACATAGCTGAATACAAATTTGCACAACTTGTACATGTACATGTATTTTTTGTTTTCAAAAGCATGCAGCCTAGCCTCGATATAGCGAAGCGTTGATTAGATCTAGATAGATAGTAGTTACAAGAAAGGCATGTCTTTATTTCCTAATTTAAAAGTTCTATAACTTAAACCTATTTATTTTTTTCGATAGATGACTTGCACCATATTTGAAGTTATAGAACTAAACTATTTTCGATTATACATATCGATATGCATGTATATGTATACTTACAGTCTGGTCCAAAAAAACCGGAATTTTTTTATTCGTTACTACGCCACGATCGTTACATTAAATCATGTGAAAATTTTTTTATTCGATGTTTAGAAATAGACAAATTTATTTAAACAAAATTAATATGAAATACGTTCTCCATTATTCAGCTCACATCATCTCTTCATCGATCGTACCAACCCAATTAGAGTAGATTTCGGAATTTTCCCCCATTCTTCCCCCATATACTGTTCTAACTCATTAATATTTTTTGGCATTCTTTTTTCTACGTTTCCCTTGACAATCCCCCATAAGTTTTCTATTAGATTCAAATCCGGACTATTCGACAGCCAGTCTATAACTTCGGGCATGTTTTCTGAAAGAAAGGATTTTGCCAAGCGACTTGTATGCTTGGGGTCGTTATCCTGTTGGAAACGCCACCGACTCCCAAGCATCCCCCTCATCTCTGGTAAATGTTTATTTAAAATTTCAACGTAAAATTTCGCATCCATGATCTGTTTAAAACAGAACAAACTTGTCTTTTCCTTAATACAAAAACCCCCCACGCAAGAATTTTTATTCAGCTTTTAGGCATATAACGAATCGGTCGTTTTCTCTTATACCATCATTTCACAGTGTTTCGGTAGAGTTCAAATGCTGTCTCATCGGTAAAAAAAGTTCGATCCCAATTGTCGTTAAGGTGAGCTTGTGCCCACAAAACCCGTTTTTCCTTATGTGCTTCGGTAAGCATGGCGGTAGCTCGTGGCTGACTTTTTAAATATCCAAGATTATTCAAATGTCTCCCAATAGTTTGATGTGATACTTGTACACCCGTTTCTAAAATTTTTGTGGCCAAATTTCTTGTCGGGAGGGAGGTATCCCTGCGAATGTATTGCCCTAGCCTTCTTGCGGATTGCCCATCGATTCTTTTCGGTCGTCCATTTTTACCCGCATGTTTTGTAGATCCGGTTTTTTTGAGTTTTTTTATGTTATCGTATATTGTTGAGAAAGGGAACTTTGTTTGTCCATGAATTTTTTTTGCGTCACGTATACCGTCATTCCATAATCGTAATAGAACCTCTCGTTGTTTCTTTTTTGCTTCGGCCGACATATCAAAGAACATCCCTACGAATGTAAAAAGGTTTGATGAAAAAAAAAAGATTGTCAACGTAGAACAAGTGTCTTGGTTTCCCTTTTTGTATTAGAAGATCTTAAACGAACTTCAATTGGATGATTTACAAAAATTTTTGTGAAACAAAAAAATTCCGGTTTTTTTTGGACCAGACTGTATGTCATTAGGAAAAATCAAGAAAGGCATGCCCTTTATCTTCCTAATTAAGAATCAATTATAGATGATTATCCGACTTAGTAAAAATTTAATTAAAACTTGTTAAGTACAATTTTACAGCACGGAAAGCCCACACTTTTCAGCACGTTCTTGACCGAATATATGCATTTAACCTTCACTAATAACATAGTCCTTCAATACCAAGAAGTAGAAGTAAAGAGTTGACGTTTCAAACAATTTAATTTGGAATCTGTATTCAGTTTTTTCTTCATTTCATCTCTCATGAATAACATAACACTTATTGTAATTTCATGTAGAGAATGCAGGATTATGGTTAAATCATACAAAAAGTTAAAATTATTTTCGCTATTCTTGATATGTTTACTGGTTCATCTTAAAGTAAAGCACAGTTCATACTGGTTTAGAAAAGAAAGATATTGCCAAATAACTCAAATTAATTGTCGGCATTGTCGATTGGTCGTAGAATATTTATAATTGTCAGAAACGATACCCGTATTTCACATTAATCTTTATTTCTATTGTTGGTGTTAGTTTACCAATCTTTCTTCTGAATGTAGCTGATAGACCGTTCCCTTCATTAAAATGAAGCTCAAATCAAGATAACAACGAAGGAATAAATTTGCGTCTTTGAGTTTAGTTTTTCTATTATTGAGATTTTGTTCCCGTAGACAGGCACTCACTACAATAGTTCAACTTTACCTTCCGCCAAGAAATAATTTTGATCAACCAAACTTGGACTTTACATTCCTATTTTCTTTAAGTCACGCAAGAAATCTCGGTGAACCAATTTATAACTCGTTTCTGCTTAGTGATTTACGGATTCCTGTGATTGGGCAATCCATGAACTTCGGCATAATTCTCGAGAAAATTTTTACAGTTGTAACACATGAATCCGCGATATACAGTTACACCTCACACTATATAACTCCCCTCTAAATGCATTGTATAATCTGGTTCCAGCTTATAAGAGCTCTATATATTTTGATCTCTATAAATGCACACTTTTCATTTTTTTTTTTACTATGGTCCCAAGGGGGGGGGGGGGAGGTGCACTTAGGGAGGTGTAACTGTAATACCATCGCTAATTAAATGTTTTCCAAATAAATGACTAATTCCCAGAATGTTAAAATATATTTTTTTGATAAAGAGGCCTGTTTCAATTCCAAACAATAAAAGATTCTCTCATTAACACGATTTTTCTTTTTTAAGACGTCAACTGGTGCTCACCACATCACCATCCGTTGTTCTGAGTTGAGCCATTAATAAGATATCTTGCCTGACTTAGAAAGAGCTTGACAGGTCTCACGTAATTTGGCAAACTTTTCTCTCGAAATTATTTTTGAACGATCACAATTGTAACTTATGTTCAAGAACCTTTATCTTTTTGTATTTTGGTAGTATTACTATATTTTACTTTTTTGTATATAGTGGAAATAACATAATTATGTTATTTCCACTTAGTCTAGGTTATTCCCACTTAGGTATGTGTCGTGATGACAGAAATGTAATACCGTCATCGGTGTTGTGATGACGGAAATATGACACCATCGTCAGTGTCATGATATAATTTTTATGACACATTTTTGACAATAAAAATATGACATCATCATCAGTGTCGTGATATATATTTTATGACACATTTTTGACAACAGAAATCTGATACCATCATCATGTATCGTGATATATATTTTATGACACACTCGAGTAATGTGCATTTTGCTTTTTATGACACCAAGATGAGATGTTTATGGTCTATATATCAGGTGCTATATAGATTACATTTGTATCAAACCACTGAGTCATCATGCTTGAGTAATATGAATTTTGCTTTTTACAATACATGCCAAGATGGTGTATTTTGTATATCAAGCCTAGAGATGGGCAAATACACGCATAGTTCATCACTATGCATACTATGCGCACTATGCATATAGTACGTATATGTGCATATGCGTATAGTATATATGTAATATGAATAATGATCTACATATACATATATAGTAATCAATCAAATACACGATGACACAAATTCATAAAAATTAATAATTTTTATTTTCTGTAACTATTATATACATTAATCAATAATTATCACTATCACTTGATGTTTCTAATGTATCGTCAC